CGCCAAGTGGAAGGGAATGTAAGCGTTGACCCCGGCCAGTCACGAGTGCGAACTCAGCTTTCCACTCATGCATTCACACATTGAATAGGCACTGTGAGAGAAATCCAGGATAGCTGCTAGGTTTTCAGTCGGGGCAACTAAGAGGATGGTGTTGCCATTGACTGAGATGGGGAGACTGCAGGAGAGGGGCCAGCTTGGGGAAAATCGAGTGGATCAGTTCTCTGTGGGCCATGGTGAGATGCCCATTAGGCCTCTCAGGGGAGATGTCAGGTGGGCAGTTCCACGTGAGACTCAGTAGTCAACTTTTGTTTTCCTGCAGTCTCACTCTGTTGCCCAGGCTGGAGTACAGTGGCATGATCACAGCTCACTGCTACCTCTGCCTCCTGGGTGCAAATGATCCTCCACTTCAGCCTCTTGAGTAGCTGAGGTCATTTTTCGGTTGTTTTTGTTTTTGTAGAGATAGGGCTTCACTCTATTGCCCAAGCTGGTCTCGAACTCCTTACGCTCAAGTAATCTTCCTGCCCCAGCGTCCCAAACTGCTGGGACTACAGGCATAAGCCACCATGCCCAGCAGATAGTCAGCTTTTTTTTTTGAGAGTCTCGCTCTGTTGCCCAGGCTGGAGTGCAGTGGTGTGATTTCACCTCACTGCAACCTCCACCTCCCGGGTTCAAGTGGTTCTCCTGCCTCAGCCCCCCCAGTAGCTGGGATTACAGGTGCCCACCACCACGCCCCTCTAATTTTTGTAATTTTTGGTAGAGACAGGGTTTTACCATGTTGGTCAGGCTGGTCTCAAACTCCTGACCTCATGTGATCTGCCTGCCTCGGGCTTGCAAACTGCTGGGATTACAGGAGTGAACGAACGTGCTGGCCCCAATAGGCAACTTTTAATGTGGTGTGTCAAGGCTCCCAGAGAATGTTCCATGCACAGAAAATGGGGAAGTGACAGTCTTTGAAAGCCTAGGCCCAGAAATGGCAAACTCACATCTGGTCAAAGTAGTAACAGAGCACACTTGGGTTCAGGATGGGCATGGGACCCCATCTTCTGAAGAAAGGAGTATCAAATAATTTGCATCCCTGGAGGGGAGCAGTGGCTCATGCCTGTAACCCCAACACTTTGAGAGGCCGAAGCAGGAGGATCACTTGGGCCCAGGAGTTAAAGACCATACTGGGTATCATATCAAGAACCTATTTTTTAAATAATTAAGTTGCACTCCAAATGTTGAAATCCCTGAAGATCAAAACCGTTGGCTGGGTGTGGTGGCTCACGCCTGTAATTCCAACTTTGGGAGGCTGAGGCAGGCAGACCACCTGAGGTCAGGAGTTGAAGACCAGCCTGTGCAACACGGTGAAACCCCATCTCTACAAAAATTAGCCAGGCATGGTGATGCAAGCCTGTACTCCCAGCTAATTGGGAGGCTGAGGTGGGAGGATTATTTGAGTCTGGCAGTGGAGGTTGCAGTGAGCCAAGATAGTGCCCCTGCACTTCAATCTGGGCAATAAAGTGAGACTTTGTCTCAAAAAAAAAAGATAACTCAAAGGTAGGAATACCAAATGTTTATTCAGAAATGGATAATACATAATCACCCTTCATCCCTTAATGCCTCTTCCTCTCCTTCTGCACGGGAGACACAGACGGGTAACACAGGGGCATGGGAAGTGAAGGAGGACACAGGACTAGCCCACCACCTTCTCTTTCCGGTCTCCCAAGATTACTGCTTATAGAGTGGAGGCGGCAAACAGGTCCCCTCAATGTACCAGATGGTCACCTACAGCACCAGCTCCAGACGGCCACGTGGCTGCGGCTGGACTCAATCAAACTCTGTGACAACCAGAAGATCCCTGCTTTGGGATCAGAGGGAGGGTAAAGCCATGCAGGCAGGATAGTTACCGTCCCTACCCTAAGCAGAGTCCAAGCACTGAGTCCCCTGTTCCCAGTACCTGAAAAACCAGGTCCTACTGCCTTCTGGATGCTCTCTTGGGCCAGGAAGGGTAAAGTGTAGGAGGAATGTCTTCCAGCTGCTAACGAGAAGTCTGCACCCACTTGAAGGGGTTAAGAGAATAAAAAGCAGCATTCTTTAAAGAACTGGAAGTGGAGCACCAGGCCCCTTCCTTGGACTTTTCTGGCCTGGGCAGCCTCAGAGTCTGCAGACTGAAGCTGAGTTCAAACCCTGGGTCCTTCCTGCCTGACAGACTGACCTCTGGAAACATGAGTCTCTGGGTTTTTCTTCACTGGGTCAGCCTCAAGCAAGTCTTGGGAACTCTTGAGTATCTCTGGCATGCACCTTTCCCAGCACTTGCTACTGATTTTGCAGAGCTCCCAGAACTGTGCTCCCCAACTGCTTCCAGCTCTGCCAGCCTGGATTCCCTTCATTCCCAGCAAACCAGCAGGGGACCACTCAGTGGCACCAGGGGCAACACTGGCCTGGTCATTCAGGGTCTGCCCCTGGGCTCTATAGTTTTGTCCCAACTGCCTGTGCCTATGCTAGGGAAACAGCTTGCCTGGTAGAGCTGTCCTGCTCCCTTCACTCCTCCTCTGCCAAGGCAGGAAAATAAACCTCTGGTCATGGATGGATGGGTCACTCACGTAAGTGGGAACAAACAGTGCCTCTTGGTGGCAGCTGGATATATGCCTCCAGGCACTCCTGACCACTGTCCTGTAGACAACTTAGGCCAGAAATGGAGAGCCAGGAGCAAACCGACCTCTTCCATTCAAATAAGCTCCAAACCCACAGCATTGCAGAATGGGAGGTTAAACCTTTGAAAGGCCCAACCAGAGGAGAGCTGGCAGCTGCACAAAACCAGGGTGTGATGAGTGCCAGGCGAGGTGAGAACCGGGAAGGCTCACAACACAACCCCCTCCTGGCAGAGACACCCAGAAGGGAAAGAGAGCTGGGGTGGGGCATTCAGCACAACTCAAGGAAAAGGGAAAGGTGAACTCTGGAGAACTTCCTCTGGGCGGAGACAGCACGGGCCTCCAAGCCAAGAGCTTGGACACTCTTCCCAGTGGTGCAGCCTCATCCTGCCCTTGCCATTAGTGAGGCCTGGAGCCACTGGGGAGAGGACAAGAGGCCTGAGACCTGCTCCCCACCCAGGCACCTCCAATGACCAGGCAGAGGAGCGGCACAGCTCTCAGGCCGACCTGGCTCCCATCAGGATACCAGGGTTTTCCATCCCCTCCGTTGTCTGAAAAGCTTAATACACACAAACGACAGGCAGCCTGTCGGCCCCTGGAAAAAGCAGGGTCCTTCAGACAGCCCCTGGCCTGCATCCCATGGGGCCACAAGAAAGCCACCCAGAGATTCAGTGTACCATTTCCAGATAAGAAATCAGCTTGGGGCTGAGGCTGGCAGAGGCACACTGAAAACCACAAGCCCACCTTGGTGATGAGATGGAGAAGAAACATACTACAGGAAACGTTAACATACAGAGAAAAGCACATGGCAGAACACAACACAGAAATGCGGGTCCCATCCAGTGAGGAAGCTCTTTACCCCTGGTGACCCTTCCCACAATCAGGGGTCTCCAGTCCGATGGCCCATTGGTCATAAGCTTTGCCTTGGGGAAACAGAGCCACCCTCCTCTGCCCCCACTTCTGGCTGCCTCACTCCCCTGCTCAAAGCTTGATTTTGAATTCTGTGGGCTGCGTGGTCACAGAGGCCCCTGAGGACTTGAAGAGTGCCTTCAGGATGGTGTCAGGGTCCACTTCGGCAGGGGGGTTGGAGGAGGAGGCAGAGTTCACCCTGCGAGGCAGCTCACTCTCCTTTTTCACCGACGGGCTGTCACTCAGCCGCCTGTGGAGAGCAGAGAAGGGTAAAAAAAAAAAAAAAAAAAAAAAAACCTAATTAGGGAACAAAATGAGGGGTAGCATCTGGCACTGTCTCCATCAGAGCCAATCATGAGGTGGAGTTCTGTGTTCCCAGGATGATGATGATGCACACAGCTGGGAGACCCAAGCAGCCTCCCCTCCACCTTCCACTCAGATATTTCTAAATCAGAAGGCTGAGAACGAGATCATAATGCTAGCCCCTGTAGGGTCAACCCCTGGGGAAATGACAAAGCAAACCATTTTGGTTGAGTTTAAGCATTTGAAACAACCAGCTGCCATTAGAACAGAGGAAACGGGATAGGGGGATGAAGGGGAGCTGTGATGCAGGCAGTTTACCCATTAGAATAAAAAGAGATGGATGGAGTTCCCTCTCCCCAGCACCCCGCCTTTGGAACTCACAGCAGGATGGGCTGGTCTGAGGTGATAACGTTCCCATTCATGTGAAGGTTGCACTTCATTGGCTGCCCTGAAAAACCAGAGAAAGGAAAAGGCTCTGCTATGAGACCTCAGCTCCTCACACAAGAGGACAAGGGCTGTACCTCCATTATCAACGGTCAAAACACCCGCCACGGCGGTTCTGGCTCCACAGATGGAGACCTGGCTGCTAGGTTCCAATCAAGCCAGACACTAAGAAAATCCAAAGCGTGAGGAAACCTCAGCAATGGCGCACCAAGAGGCAAAGTGGCCACAAACCCTGCTTCATACAGGAGGAAATGAGTGGAAGTGAAGGAGAAATGAGACTCAATGTGAAGCCATCCAAGTAGTAAGGGAAAAGGTTTATGCTATCAAATTCAGTGAAAAGACGATCAAAAGCATTCGTACAGGCTTCTACTCTATCTACAAAGGATGAAGCACTAGGAAGACCACACTCCCACTGTATACAAAGCACAACGTGTGTAATGGTAATAGCACAAAAAAGAGGAAGAAGAAACAAGGCCATTTGGGAGTAACATTTCCATATCTTACTCGAGTTAAGTTAGTGAATACATCATGAAAGGAATTAAAATATTAGGAAAAAAATGTGAAAGAAAAGCCACTGAAGAGGAACAAAAAAGTAAAATGCGGTCAGGTGCGGTGGCTCACGACTGTAATCCCAGCACTTTGGGAGGCCAAGGAGGGCGGATCACGAGATCAGGAGATCGAGACCATCCTGGCTAACACGGTGAAACCCCGTCTCTACTAAAAATACAAAAAATTCGCCAAGCGTGGTGGCGGGCACCTGTAGTCCCGGCTACTCGGGAGGCTGAGGCAGGAGAATGGCGTGAACCTCGGAGGCGGAGCCTGCAGTGAGCAGAGACGGCGCGCCACTGCACTCCAGCCTGGGCAACAGAGCGAGACTCCGTCTCAAACAAACAAACAAACAAAAAGTAAAATGGAAGAAACAAACCTAATTATCAATATTAAATATGAATGGCTTAAATAATCCAATCCAAAGACAGATTGTCAGATTGAATTAAAATAAAAAATAACCAGTAAGAGCTAACTATATGCTCTCTACAGGAGACATATTTTTCTTTTTTTTTGAGATGGAGTTTCACTCTTACTGCCCAGGCTGGAGAGCAGTGGCATGATCTCAGCTCACGGCAACCTCTGCCTCCCGGGTTCAAGCGATTCTCCTGCCTCAGCCTCCCGTTTAGCTGGGATTACAGGCACGTACCACCATGCCTGGCTAATTTTGTAAAGTAGAGATGGAGTTTTCTCATATTGGTCAAGCTAGTCTTGAACTCCCAATCAGGTGATTCTCCTGGCTCAGCCTCCCAAAGTGCTGGGATTACAGGCGTGAGACACTACGCCCAGCCTAGGAAACACATTTTTACAGTCGATGAGAGAAAAAGATTGAAAGTAAGAGTGGGTCAGGCATGGTGGCTCGTGCCTGTAATCCCAGCACTTGGCAAGGCTGAGATGGGCGGATCACTTGAAGCCAGGAGATTGAGAGCAGCCTGGCCCGCATGGCAGAAACCCCATTTCTACTAAAAATACTAAAAATTAGCCGGGTGTGGTGGTGCGCGCCTGTAGTCTCAGCCACTCAGGAGGCTAAGGCACGAGAATCGCTTGAACCCGGGAGGCAGACGTTGCAGTGAGCCAAGATCACGCCCCTGCATTCCAGCCTGGGTGACAGAGCGAGACTCCATCTCAAAAAAAAAAAAAAGAAAGAGTGAACAAAGATATATTACCCAAACAGCAACCCTAGGAAAGCTGGTCTTTTACTTATTAGCTATTAGTAATATAAAATGAAATAGACTTTAAAACAACCAAAAAAAGTTACCAGAGGTAAAGAGGGATTTAAATTTAATTAAAGGGTCAATTCATCAGGAAGAATATAATCAAACATATATGCAAGTAACAACAGAGCCTCAAATATATAAAATAAAAATACACAGAAGTGAAAAGAACAGACAAACAGTAATAAAGATCTCACCAGGCGCAGTGGCTCATGCCTCTAATCCCAGCACTTTGGAAGGCCTAGGCAGACGGATCACTTGAGGTCAGGACTTTGAAACCAGCCTGGCCAACATGGTAAAAACCCCATCTCCGTGTTAACCAGGATGGTCTCGATCTCTTGACCTCGTGATCCGCCCATCTCGGCCTCCCAAAGTGCTGGGATTACAGGCTTGAGTCATCGCGCCCAGCCCCAGCCTGGGCGACAGAGTGAGACTCCGTCTCAAAAAAAAAACCCCATCTCTACTAAAAATACAAAAATTAGCTGGGCGTGACAGCAGGCACCTGTAATCCCAGCTACTTGGGAGGCTGAGACAGGAGAACTGCTTGAACCCAGAAGGCAGAGGTTGCTGTGAGTCAAGATCATGCCACTGCACTCCAGCCTGGGCGACAGAGGGAGACTCCGTCTCAAAAAAACAAAACAAAACACTCCATATTTCACTTTCAATACTAGATAGAACCAGGCAGATCAACAATGAAACAACACTTGAACAACATGACAAAGCAACTAGACATAATAGACATGTACAGAACACTCCACCCACAACAAGAAAATACATATTCTCCTTAAACACTCAAGAAAAGAAAATCTGGAAAATTCATGAATATATGGAAATTGAAACAATCCTAAATAACCAATGGGTCAAAGGAGAAATCACAAGGGAAATTAGAAAATAATTCAAGATGAATGAAAATGAAGGCATGATATGGAATGCAGTTAAAGCAATGCTTAGAATATATAGCTGTAAATGCACATATAGCCATGTATCATTTAACCATGGGAATACATCCCAGAGTGCAGTGGCATGATCATAGCTCACTACAGCCTCAACTTTCCAGGCTCAGGTGATCCTCCCACCTCAGCCTCCCCAGCATCTGGGACTACAGGCACACACCACCATGCCCAGCTAATTTATTTTTTGAGACAGGGTCTTGCCACATTGCACAGGTCGGTCTCAAGTTTCTAGGCTCAAGTGACCCTCCTGCCTCAGTCTCCCAAAGTACTGGAATTACAGGCTTGAGCCACCACACCTGGCTGTATAGCATGTTACTCTACTGAGTAGAGTAGGCAACTGTATTTGTACATCTAAACATAGAAAAAATACAGTAAAAATATGGTATTATAATGTTATGGGCCCACTGTCATATATGTGGTCTGGTGTTAACCAAAAAGTCCTTATACAGCGTATGAATACATTAACAAGCAAAAGTAAAAAAAACCTACAGAATGGGAGAAAATACTAGTAAATCACTTATCTGATAAGGGACTTAAGAATATGTAAAGTACTTTTACAACTCAATAATAAAAAAAAACCTAAAAGGCAGACAAAGATTCTATACTGGCATTTCTCCAAAGAAGACAGCTGGGCACGGTGGCTCACGCCTGTAATCCTAGCACTTTGGGAGGCCGAGGTGGGCAGATCACCTGAGGTCAGGAGTTTGAGACCAGCCTGGCCAACATGGTGAAACCCCATCTCTACTAAAAATACAAAACAATTAGCTGGGCGTGGTGGCGCGTGCCTGTAGTCCCAGCTACTTGGAAGGTTGAGGCAGGAAAATCGCTTGAACATGGAAGGCAGAGGTTCCTGTGAGCCAAGATCATGCCACTGCACCCCAGCTACAGAGAGAAACTCAAAAAAAAAAGAAAAAAAAGAAAAGTATCTTTCCACATCCAATATGACAAAATAAGAAAAAACAAGAGAAATTTAAAATTTAAAACAAAATTAAAAAATAATTTTTTTTAATGACATACAAATGGCCAATAAGCACATGAAAAGGTGCTCAACATCATTAGCCACAGGGAAATGCAAATCGGAACTCCACTGACTCACCCAGGGGAGTTCACCCAGGTGCCAAGATTTAGCCAAGGCTCCAGGTCTTTTATTTGTAATTTTTTTATTGTTGTATTGTTTTATTATCTCTGCTTCTCCACTTCTAGCACAGGGCCTTGGTCCACAGTAGGCACTCAATACATACTGAAAGAACAAATGAGTGGAAAAGGAACATGGCAGACAGAATTCTTCTCTACAGGCTCTCTGGAGATGAAAAATACAAACCTCAAGTCAATAAAGTCTGTTGTTTACCCACTAGGAGCAGCTCTCACCCAGGAGCCAACATTCAGACAAGACTCCAGGGCTTTGAGGAACGTCTGCCCTAGCACTAAGCAGATCAACATCTGGGAGGGAACGGCTGTGCCTCTTGGCTTCCCTGGCAAGACCCCTTAAGAGAATCATCCACAGAGAAACGCTGTTTTCTTTTTTGCTGGGCTCAAAAGCTCTTAAGGGCTGGGTGAAAATCCAGGGCCCTGTGTAACCCACAGCTCAGGACTACTCAGAGACTGCACAGCAGTTCCTGGTGCAGATGAGGCCCCGGAGATGGGTTCCACGCATCTCAGAGAGACTTCCCCTGGAAAGCCTGCTACCAGACAGTAAGCAGAGAGGAGTGGGAGGGTCAGAGGGCTGCCTTCTCCCTAACTTACCGTCCAGACACCGGTTGTTGTATTTCTTATATGCGGTGATGGCATCGTCCTTTTTCACAAACACCACCTCTGCTACCCCAGGATGGACCAGTCGAGCTCGCTTGAGGGCCCCACACACACAGAAAAGTTCCTGCACACAACAAGAGGGGTTGGGATTGGGGAAGGATTTCTCACCGCCTGCCACTCACACACTCTGAAGGCCCTGGGGTGTGGTGGCTCCACTGCAGCTAAATATGCCCCTGTGCCTGAGACTGCAGGGAGGTTCCACGTTAGGTGGTGCTCTTGAGACATCCACAGGCCTCAACACAGCACCAGATGAAGTCGGCAGTGGGAAAGGGGCTGGGTTTACAAGCCTTGGATCACCTGGGATCTCCCAGCAAGCCACCGCCAAAGTCTTCAGTGCCACCTCAACAGGGATAAAATAGTTACGGAAATTTTCTCAGAGAGCCCTGTCATGAGAATACATGTACACAAAGAAAGACAGCTGCTAACATGTCACCTGAGAATCTGTTAGAAATACAAATTCTGGAGTTCCACCCAGAGTCCTGGTTTGGCTGGATTGAAGGGTTTCCCTGGACATAAGACTTTGAGTGATAAAACCAGGAAGAGTCCCTAGCAAAACTGGGACAGTTGGTCACTCTAAGTCAGACCTGAGTTTGATCCCCCAGGCTTTGCTGCCTATCTGCTATGGGACATCTAGCAAGTTACTTAACTTCTCTAAGCCTGCTTCCTCTTCTGAAAATAAAAAGAACTAGCTTACTTCAGAGGGTTACTGGAAAGCTCAACCGAGATCATTTTTAAGCTGTGCTTTGCACACATCATTGACTCCAATCTCCACCCCATTTTACAGACAAGACAATTAAGGCCAGAGAGGGAGCAGAATGTGAAGACACACAGAGCCTGACTAGCACTCACGCCATTTCTTCACCTGCAACTGCCTTCACAAGGTTGCTGTGAAGGCCAAAAGAAGGTTTATGAAAAGGTCCTTGACATGATTTGTTTTTAATGGTAAATATCAAAACAAGATGTCCCTCTGCACCTGTGGGAGACTGGTTCCAGAACCACTCACAGATACTAAAATCTGTGGATGCTCAAGTCCCTGCTATAAAATGCTGTAGTATTTACGTATAACCTATGCACATTGTCCACTATACTTTAAATCATCCCTAGATTACTTACAATACCAATGCAAATGCTATATAGTTGTTATACTGTATTTCTAAAATTTGTATTATTTCTCATTATACTGTTATTTTTAAAAATTCGAATATTTTCCTTCAGTGGTTGGCTAAATCTGCAGATGCAGAACCCACAGATATGAAGGGCCAACTATAAATAGTAGGTGTAATTCCAATTTTATTTCCATTGTCCTTTTAACATTGCCTATTTGGGTAGAAGAGGAGAGAGGATGATTATTACTGGCAATCTCCCCTGAGCGCTGATCATGACTGGTGTTCAGTTTTCCACCATTATGTATCTCCCAGGAGTCTGCCTACAGTGACTGGCACATAGCAAGTACTCAATAAATGGCAGTCGTTATTACGCTTATAAACAGTTTTAATTCTTTCCTTTTTTTGAGACAGAGTCTCACTCCGTCACCTAGGCAGGAGAGCAATGGTGTGATCTCGGCTCACTGCAACCTCCACCTCCCGGGTTCTAAGTGATTCTCCTGCCTCAGCCTCCCGAGTAGCTGGGACTACGGGCACGCACCACCACGCCTGACTAATTTTTCTATTTTTAGTAGAGATGGGGTTTCGCCATGTTGGCCAAGCTGGTCTTGAACTCCTGACCTCAGGCGATCCACCAGCCTCGGCCTCACAAAGTGCTGGGATTACAGATGTGAGCCACTGCACCCAGCAATCAGCTTTAATTCTTAATGACTTGTCAAGTATTACACAAAACAAGCTACAATTTCCATCCTCACGTGCACCATTCACAGCACTGTCCCTGTAAAGGAGAAGGGCATATGAGGGACCCATTTCACAGCATGTGTGTGTTTCATAATTAAGATTTAACCTAGGCCAGGTGCGGTGGCTCAAGCCTGTAATCCCAGCACTTTGGAAGGCCGAGATGGGCGAATCACGAGGTCAGGAGATCGAGACCATCCTGGCTAACATGGTGAAACCCCGTCTCTACTAAAAAAATACAAAAAACTAGCCGGACGAGGTGGTGGGTGCCTGTAGTCCCAGCTACTCGGGAGGCTGAGGCAGGAGAATGGCGTAAACCCGGGAGGTGGAGCTTGCAGTGAGCTGAGATCCGGCCACTGCACTCCAGCCTGGGCGACAGAGTGAGACTCTGTCTAAAAAAAAAAAAAAAAAAAAAAAAAGGTTTAACCTCAGCTGGGCACAGTGGCTCACACCTGTAATACCAGCACTTTGGGAGGCCAAGGCAGGCAAATCATAAGGTCAGGAGTTCAAGACCAGCATAGCCAACATGGTGAAACCCCGTCTCTACTGAAAAATACAAAAATTAGCTGGGTATGGTGGCACGCGCCTGTAATCCCAGCTACCAGGGAGGCTGAGGCATGAGAATTGCTTGAACCCAGGAGGTGGAAGTTGCAGTGAGCCAAGATCGCACCACTGCACTCCAGCCTGTGCCACAGAGCAAGACTCGTCTTAAAAAACAAACAAACAAACAAAACAAAACAAAAAACCCAAGGCGGGCAGATCATTTGAGGTCAGGAGTTCAAGACCACCCTGGCCAACATGGTGAAACCCTGTCTCTACTAAAAATACAAAAATTAGCCAGGTGTAGTGGCAGGCGCCTCTAATCCCAGTTACTCGGGAGGCCGAGGCAGGAAAATTGCTTGAGCCTGGGAGGCAGAGGTTGCAGTGAGCTGAGATCACGCCATTACACTCTAGCTTAGGTGACAGTGAGACTCTATCTCAAAAACAAAACAAAACAAAACGAAACAAAAAGATTTTAACAAATGTAGTGACCAGTGCAGTCTGTTAGTCTGGGACTCAACTGCAGGGAGAGGCTGGATTCTCCAACCGTATTCATTTTGTGATCTGACAGTTCAAAGGATGCCTGGATTTCTAAGCTAATGGCTCTTTTGGCTGCCTGAATGAAAATGATGTTGAAAAGAAGTCCTAGCTGCATCCAGAACCCCACTCACAGGCACCTGACAGGTTTTGCCCATGACTACCATGGGTGGGACAGGATGGACCAGGTAGGTGGATACCACCAGTCCATCTCACCTCTTTCACTTTGGAATCATCTTGTAAAACCTCCAAAGGACATAGAACGTTCCAAAGACTCACAGGAAAACACAACTACTGGATATCGCCCAGTGGGACTAAAGGATCCCATTTAGGACCCATTACATCACAGATATCCCCTGACTCTGAGATTCATGCCAGGCACCTGGCCTTGGTTAGAAGCTGCGCAGAAGAGTGAAGCAGCTGGGCTGACTGCTACTGTTTGAAAGGCCCGATTCCAGGGGTGGCCCTTGGCTGGCATCTGGGAACTCAGATCTCAGGAGCGCTCCTGCCACCCCACAGTTCACTGTGCCTGGACTGTCCAAACAACATGGTTTCTGCTCAACAGCTGCTTTTCTTCTGGGAGTCTGGAATTTTGGTATGTGCTACACAAAGAATGCCGAAGTGGCCAGTCCCCAATAAAACCTCTGGGCACCGAGTCTTTAATGAACTTCCCTGGTGTCACATGTGTTGTCACAACTTGCTGCGAGTTGCACCCAGCATCCTGTGCAACTCTGCTGGGAGGGGCCTCTGGAGGCTTGTGCCTGGTTTCCCCCCAGCTTCACCCCATGAACCATTTGCTCTGCATCCTTTTGCTGTCATTAGTCTCAGCCCTGAGTGTGACTATATGCTGAGTCTGGTGAGTCCTAGCAGTCATCAAACCTGAGGGTGGGTCTTAAGAGACGTTTGCCACAGAGGCGGTTTGAGATTTAAGTGTTTGGTAGGTCACAGTACTTACAACAATGTCCTCCTCAGTGACCCGAGGGTGCAGATTATTCACAGTCATCTTGGTGCCTTCCAATGGGCTGAGAACAGGCTGCCACAGACAAGAGCGTTAACAGAAGCTGGATAGCTAATAAGCATTCCCACAACAGAAATTCCTCCAGGCACGTGACTAGGAAGGCCCAGAGGAAAGCTCCATGGAGAGTTACCACAACTGGGCCCCCTGAACTTCAGTGTCCACTACACCCCCCACCGCTCTATGCTAAAAGCATGGACCCTTTTCCATCTCCCAAATACGCAAGCCTCTCAGGCCCTGAGCCTCTACCTGGAAGGCTGCTCATGCTTCCAGATCCACTCAGCTAAAAGACCCTTTTTCCCAGATTTCCCAACTGGAATGAGATGTTCTGTCCTCAGCACTCCTAACAGCTTTCTTCTGGGAGAGTCTAACATATCACCAGATACCGTAACCTCTCAGCAGGTCTGCTGTCCCCAGCAGCCTGCAAGGTCTTTAAGAGAAGAGTCCCTAGGTCTTGGTTTGCTCATCTGTAGAATGGGGGTGGCAATGCCCACCTCACAAAGGCGTTGTGGGGACACAATGACATACATATAAGCATACAGCCCTCCTGACCCCAACTGCTGTGGTCACCACCGTCACCTCACCTCAGCAGGTGGCAGCTCTTTGGGGGGTTCTTCCTTGTTCACCAGTGTCCGGGACATGTTGGTCAAGGCTTTTGTTCGAACAGAGGAAGGGAGAGCAGGAGCTGTGTATGCGTCATTCTGAACCACTTTGGTAAGAGGGAGGGCCTTGGACATGGAAAGCTTGGAACTACTTAGCCCAGCCTAAACAAAGAGACAGAAAAGAATCTGAGAAGCCAGACATGGAATGTTCTGAAGAAGCCCCAAGGGGCTGACAACTTGCTGAGAGCATGAACCCTCTACGCCTCCCAGCTCTCCAATTCTATTAGAGGTCTGGAGCCAAAAAAGCTGCCGGCTGCCAGTGACATCCCATAGTGAAGGGGCAGGGGGAGAAAAAAACACACAGCCTGAGCGCGCACTCACAGAAGCCAGTCTCCACAGTGCTAGAAGCTCTTGGTAGGAAGCTTCCATACAGCCCTGACCTGGAAAATTACCTAGGAGCCACAGACTCACCCATACCACTTAGACTTTCTAAAAATTCTACAATATGAGGCTGGTCAGAAGGCCAAAAGCTTGGCCAGGCATAGTGAATCACACCTGTCATCCCAGCACTTTGGGAGGCTAAGGTGAGAGGATTGCTTGAGGCCAGAAGTTCAAGACCAACCTGGGCAACACAGTGAAACCTCATCTCTACAAAAAATGTAAAGGAGCCGTTATGCCTATGGAGTAGCCACGATTTTATTCCTTTGTTTTCTTAATAAAGCTGAAAAATTAAAAGGCCAAAAGGTTGAGGCCAAGTTCATTCCCAGATATGCTTCTATCACAGTGTGCTGATCACCACGCTTAAGAAGGCCCAGAACTCAGCTTTTTGGTTCCTCTTCTGGCCATCCAGAGGAACCACACACAGCCTTGGCCTCATCAGCTCCTGGACAGTCAGGGACACACGGGCATTCGGCAGCGCAGATCACCAAAAACAGCCCCTCCCATCTCGATATGGTCCCTTGGAAACAAAACTCCCCTGTATTGTGTCTGAGGAAAAAGGCGCATAAAGCAGAAGTGACGGGAGCCCTGCTGATTTAGGGCAGTGTTTAAAGGCACTGACCCAGGGAGAAGGCAGGAACGCAGCAGCCAGAAAGGCAGATCAGAGCATGGGCAGGGGCAATTCACCACGCTTCTCCAAGTCTAGGAGAAGCAGCGTCATCCCCAGGCTGGATTCCACATTCCTCAGGCAGCTTTCTGAGTCTCCAGAGCCAGGACAGCACAGTGACTACACATAGGGCCCTGAGAACCAGACTGCTCAGGCTCCATTCCTAGATCCACTGCTTCTCATCAGCTGGGTGATGTTGAACAGGCTTATTTTACCTCTCCATGCCTGCTTCCTCATCCATAAGCGAGGGTAATCAACAGTACCCATCTCACAGGGTACAAAACGCATTAGTATAAATATGGCATTTATTCAATTAGGGTATCAAATAGGGATAGAGACTCACTGAGCAAGGTGATAGTTCCCTTGATAGCAGACTTGAGCAGTCTAATTACTGGAAAGGCCTGGTCCCTTTGTAAAGAAACAAACTGGCATCATTCAGCTTCACGACGTATCTTTTTTTTTTTTTTTTTTTGAGACGGAGTCTCACCCTGTCACCCAGGCTGGAGTGCAGTGGTGCAATCTTGGCTCACCGCAACCTCCATCTCAGGGTTCAAACAATTCTCCTGCCTCAGCCTCCCGAGTAGCTGGGATTACAGGCACGCAGCACCATGTCCAGCTAATTTTTGTATTTTTAGTAGAGACAGCGTTTCACCATGTTGCCAGGCTGGTCTCGAACTCCTGACCTCAGGTAATCTGCCCACCTCGGCCTCCCAAAGTGCTCGGATTACAGGCGTGAGCCACCGCGCCCAGCCAGCTTCATGTTTCTCTCTTTTTTTTTTTTTCCAGACGGAGTCTCGCTCTGTCGCCCAGGCTGGAGTGCTGTGGCATGATCTCAGCTCACTGCAAGCTCCGCCTCCCAGGTTCACGCCATTCCCCTGCCTCAGCCTTCCGAGTAGCTGGGACTACAGGTGCCCACCACCATGCCCGGATAATTTTTTTGTGTTTTTTAGTAGAGACGGGGTTTCAGCGTGTTAGCCAGGATGGTCTTGGTCTCCTGACCTCGTGATCTGCCCACCTCTGCCTCCCAAAGTGCTGGGATTACACGCATGAGCCACGGCGCTCGGCCCATGTTTCTCTTAATTACTAACCAGGAGTCTGGTCCACATACTCGAGACAGTAACCAAAACTGAGTCTTTGAGCTTCTGAAGGAAAAACAAAAGAGGTGTCTGCCATAAGGACCCACCTGGGCAGCCCACTGGCCTCCCTGTCTGACACTTGGCTGTACTACTGAGCTGAGCAGCATGGACCTCCCTGATGCTCCCAGATGCTGTTTTCTCTCCTTCTCTGCATGATGTCTGATCAACACTCTAGCCCAGCAAGCTTTCCCTGCATGCAGGCTGCACCTGGCAGAGCCCACAGATCAGGTGAGATGTATTCCCGCTAACGTCAACGAAGGGAATCCAGACTCCAAGAGCAGCACCTGAGCTGCTGACCATAGAGGGTCACAGAGCATGCAAAATGGCCAGCCACCAAGGAAAAGAACACAGACTCCCCACTGTGGGATCACTCACATTTTCCCTATAGTGTCTCAAACACAGCACCTGGGAGCTGCAGCCCTGCACTTCACTTGCTGTGGGACCTTGAACAAATCAGGAGGCACCCCAGTGTCTCAGCGTTTACAAAACTAAGGGGTTGGACTAACTCCAGCTCTGAAAATCTTACGGCCCAAAGGAAGAAATATTTCTGCATTGAAAGGCTCTGTTCACACGGGGCGCAGTGGCTCACCCTGTAATCCCAGTACTTTGGGAGGCTGAGGCAGGCGGATCACTTGAGGTCAGGAGTTCCAGACCAGCCTGGCCAACATGGTGAAACCTCATCTCTACTAAAAATACAAAAACTAGCTGGGCGTGGTGGCAGGCGCTTGTAATCCCAGCTACTAGGGAGGCTGAGGCAGGAGAATAGCTTGAACCCAGGAGGCGGAGGTTGCAGTGAGCTGAGATCGTGCCACTGCACTCCAGCAGCCTTGGGGACAAGAGCAAGACGTCTCAAAAAAAAAAAAAAAAACAGACTCTATTCACAACCTCTCCCACCTGTCTGATCAGACATGCAGCGTAAGAAAACACGAAATGCTATACCATGTGGTGAAGAAAGCCGCCGGAGGCTGCAAACTTCATCTGTTTAGTAGGAACGGAAGCTATACCATCATCATCTTCATCCAGGTCATATAAATTCTGAGAATATAACATAAAGAAATATAAGCAAATGTGGCATGTGTGCCCTCAACAGACATCTAGAACAGGCAAGGCAAGGAAATGGCTGCTGGAGAGAGAAAGGGACCAAAGTAGAAGTGGGCACAGGGGTGATGGTGCCTGGAAAGACTGGGGCACAAGTCCTGACAGGCGAACTCCCTGTCAACAAGGGCCCAGTGAAAGTCCTACAACTTCCAGATACATCAGAAGTCCCTTTTTCCCAGTGGGCAGTATCTATGAAGAGTTCCTAAAATGTTCCTTTATATCCTTTGGCTTGGAAAGTCCATCCTTGTTAATATGACCTACAGAAATAAATCCAAACCCTAGTAAGAACTTTATCTACAAAGCTGTTCATAGCAGAAGGATTTCTAACAGTGAAAATGACAGGAAAATGGTTTAAATAAAACTGGAATGCCAACTATATGGATTTTGCAATTACTAAAACGTTTACAGTAAATGTGAAATGTTGCAGAAAAATGCTTGAGTTACAAAGTGAAAAAAGAATGATAGAAAATTGGATAAGAAAATAACCATGGCTGGGCGCAGTGGCTCACGCCTGTAATCCCAGCACTTTGGGAGGCCGAGGAGAGCGGATCACGAGGTCAGCAGATTGAGACCATCCTGGCTAACACGGTGAAACCCTGTCTCTACTAAAAATACAAAAAAAAAAAAAATTAGCCAGGCGTGGTGGTGGGCACCTGTAGTCCCAGCTACTCAGGAGGCTGAGGCAGGACAATGGTGTGAACCTGTGAGGCGGAGCTTGCAGTGAGTCAAGATGGCGCCACTGCACTCTAGCCTGGGTGACAGAGCGAGACTCGGCCTCAAAAAAAAAAAAAAAAAAAAAAAAAGAATATAACCACAACCACAACTATGAATTAAGTAAAAAACAGACTGGGGCTGGGCATGGTGGCTCACACCTGTAATCCCAGCACTTTGGGAGGCCAAGGCAGGCAGATTACCTGAGGTCAGGAGTTTGAGACCAGCCTGACCAACATGGAGAAACCCCATCTCTACTAAAAATACAAAATTAGCCAGGCGTGGTGGCGCATGCCTGGAATCCCAGCTACTTGAGAGGCTGAGGCAGGAGAATCACTCGAACCCGGGAGGCGGAGGTTGTGGTGAGCTGAGATTGTGCCACTGCACTCCAGCCTGGGCAACAAGAGCGAAACTCCGTCTCAAAAAAACAAAAAACAAAAAAACAGGCTGGGCATGGTGGCTCACACCTGTGCCTGTAACCCCAGCACTTTGGGAGGCCGAGGCAGGAGGATCGACTGAACCCAGGAGTTAGAGACCAGCCTGGGCAACATGGCAAGACTCTATCTCTACAAAAATTAGCCAGATGTGGTGGTATGCACCTGTGATCCCAGCTACTCAGGAGGCTGAGGTGGGAGGATCATTTGAGCCCAGAAAGTCAAGGCTGCAGTGAGCCATGACTGCACCACTGCACTCCACCCTGGGGGACAGAGTGAGACCCTGTCTCCAAAAAAAAAAAAAAAAAAAAAAAAAAGACAGGGGGTGGGGGGACATGTAAGGAACTATGGCAAAATTTCAACAGTGATTGGCTTTGGAGAATAGGAACTTGAGGGACTTTTTGGCAAGTTTTCTATATTAAGCACATAGAACTTTTATTTAAAAAAAAAATTAACAACAAAAAAAACTTTATTAGCTTCTCTGCTCCCTATGCCTCCCTTCCTCTATTAAGAGTCCATTAAGAAGTCGCTTCTTGGCTGGGTGCGGTGGCTTATGCCTGTAATCTCAGCACTTTGGGAAGCTGAGGTGGGCGGATCACAAGGTCAAGAGATTGAGACCATCCTGGCGAACACTGTGAAACCCCATCTCTACTAAAAATACAAAAATTAGCTGGGTGTGGTGGTGCACGCCTGTAGTCCCAGATACTCAGGAGGCTGAGGCAGGAGGATCAATTGAACCCGGGAGGCAGAGGTTGTAGTGAGCCGAGATTACGCCACTGCACTCCAGCCTGGCGACAGAGCGAGACTCCGTCTCAAAAAAAAAAAGAAGTTTCTTCTTTAAATTGCAAAAAGTTCACTGTAACCCCGCCTCCAGTACTACCAACTGGGAACCTTGGGAGCAAGCCTCAGTCCATGCACCCAAGTAGGCCTCATCAAAACATGTGCACGCCTACATGTTCACTATGTACACACACACTCTCTCTCTCACTCACTCTACCTGTTTGGCCTGGTGGTTATTGACAACATTGATTCTCATTCCAGCAGGATGGGGATGAAGTGGTGCCATGGCTTTCTGCTGTGGAACCTAGAAACACTCAGTGGTCAGAATCCACCCCACAGGGTCCACATGCATTCTCTAGAAGGAGGGGGTTACTGAACTTGATACACGGTGCGCATGCAGCTTTGGTCTTTGGTAAAAGGCACTACAGAGGGTTTTATCCCCCACAGTAGGAAGTAAAAGAAGAATCATCAACCCAGAGACCACATGGTAATGCACATGTAGGGCTTAATGGACTTGGCTCAGTAAATGTTTGCTGCGGCCACTGCTGTTCCTATTACCAAAGCTGCTATGAAGGTTAAACGACATTGTTTCCTTTCCCTCTGTGGTGGCAGCTGTGAAGGGTGGCCAGTGCCCTGGACTCAGGGCCAAATCCCACTGGGCCTGGGGGTGGAGTGAGGACTGTAAGATCAAGTATGTTAAGTGCTTGCCACATGGCATGTGCTCAATAAATCTTCTGTCCTTTCCTCTCTCTTTCTTCCACCAGTATCTCACTTCAGAAAGTCACTAAATTTCTATGGGCCTCCTCTTTCTTTTATACAGAACTGAGATAATACCTTTTCTTCCTTGTATAGTTCCTTGGCTATAACGTACTTAAAGCCTCTGTAAGGAGCAAAGTGCTATACCAACACTTGAGAGGATAGTAGTTTTGCCCAATCACTCCTGGCACCTTGCCTCTAAATCTACCTTTGTTACTAGCTTTCTGGGAATTCATGACAAAACCCACAACTTACCTGGATGGTTTTGGTGAGTTTCAGAGCAGGGGTCACTGTCCCAATAGGTGGGTTTATGAAGGCAGCAGGGGAACTCCTCTTCAAGCTAATCTTCTCCCGGGCATCAGCGACCTGGCGGGGCTTCTGGGGCGCCGTGGTCTGCTGCTTGCGAGAGTTCAACATCTCTCTGGCATCCTGCACTTTCCCTTTGATCCGAAATCGGGCATCTTTCTGCAAAAGCTTCTCCCGGGCATCCTTGACTCCCAGTTTGAGCCGGGCATCTGAGAGGCCAATCTTTTGCCGGGCATCAAATCTCTGCTGGAAGGTGGCTGTGCGTGTTGACTGGCTGAGAAGGCCTTGCTGGATCCCAACTCGAGATCGGACACCTCCAACCCCCGGTCTGGCATTAAGCCTGTAAATACAAATTGCAATCAATATTAAGTGGATCTGGATATCAACAGCAGTCTATGAAAGTGGAACTGTGGTAACACTGGGGACAGAGGAGGTCCTGGAGAATCAGAAAGCAGTTCCTTGCCTGTGCCTGAGTAAATAATTATGCCTACATGATGACTCCTTTCCTGGTTTCATGATGGCTTTTAACTTTGCATTTTAAGCAAAATTAAGAGGGAGGGGCTGGCAAGTTTTATCACTAGCTAAGACTGTTTTGCTTCCTAGACCACTTGTCTTGAGACACCAACATGGACAATAACTTCCCAACAATGCCAGTCAAATAAAATAAACATCCATCAAATATAATCCCACTCATCTGAAGAGTAACTTTAGTTTCCAAGGCCCATCCCCATCCATGTTCTCACTCAGCCCTCTCAGCACCCTGAGAAGTACTTACTATGCCCACTTCACAGTGGGAGAAGTAGGTTTGGTGAGGCTCAATGACTAACAAAGAGTGTCTTTAAGGAAGGCAGACACCATCTACTGGGCTAGGACCAAGAGAGCAAACATGTGGGTCTGGCTTAGAGCTAGAGAAAAACAGAAAACACAAAGACTTGGTAGGAAAGAAAGATAAAGTTGCAATAGCAAAAATATGAAATACAGAAACCACTGAAATTGGAAATGATGGGTTCAGGGTTCACTATCTGAGTAATGGGTACACTAGAAGCCTAATCCTCGCCAGTATGCAATATAATCCATGGAACAAACATGTACATGCACTTCCTGAATTTAAAATAAAATATATATTTTTAATTGGAAATGAACGAAACTACATAAACAGGCCCTGGTCTCTTTCTTGGGTTCCTCTGTTGGCCTACAATGGCTTCAAAGTGAACAGACGGCCCTCCCCAGTACAGCACTGGAGATCCTCCCCAAGGTCTTTGGGCTTCTTCTGTCACCTGCCACTCTCAGGCCCCTCTACAGTAGCTACCATCAACGGCCGCTCCTGTGGCAGAAGCTCCACCTGTGGACTCCTATGTCAAGGTGTGCTCTTTGGAAATCCTCCCCGATTTCTCCAGACCAGCTCTTCTCTGTGCCTATTATTACACATGCTTGTTTCCTTTTTTCTCTCCCTACCTGGGTGGGGCTGAGGGAGGAGAATGGGGTTCACTCCTTTTGCAGGGCCCAGCACCTCCTAAGCAGCACCGAGCCCTGGCTGAGTGTCAGAAACTCTGGTGGCGCTTCTTAAATACGGAGCTATCCAGATCCCACTCTAGATACTGAATCCAAAATCTGGGGGGAAGCCTGGTCATCTGCATTTCTAACTCCATGGGTGATTCTGGAGAAGAGCCATGTTGAGGATCTCTGACCTGGTGTTAGAGGGTAAACTGCTGCATAAACGAGTTCCTATATTGCCTCCCACTTCACTGCCTGGACCTCCCAGGAGGCATCTCTCATACTGGGCCGGTCACTGGCACTCTCCCACTGCTGCATTCAAGTGGTTGGAGTGAAGACTGGCTGTCAGTTCCTTTGCTAATAAATACCAGAAGTGTAGCCAAAGGTGAGCCTACCTGGAACCAATAAAAGCAAACCTGGACCTTCATTTTGTTATACCTCAAATAATGGAAAAACACCCACTGCCTCCAATATGCCAGTACCAGACCTACGGCGGCAATACAGACTGAACATGTGTCCCCCCAAAATTCCTCTGTTGAAACCTAATCTGCAATGTGATGGTGGTAGGAGGTGGGGGCCTTTGGGAAGTGATTAAGTCATGAGGACAGAGACTTCATGAATGGGATTAGTGCCCTTTATAAGGAAGAAGCCCCAGAAAGCTCCCTGGCCCCTTCCACCATGTGAGGACTCCGCAAAAAGACCATCTAGAACCAGGAAGCAGGCAGGCCCTCATCAGACATGGAATCTGCCAGCATCCTGATCCTGGACGTCCCAGACTCTCTGTGAGAAGGAAGTTTCTGTTTTTTCTGTGTGCGTGTTTTTTTGTTTTGTTTTTTGTGTTTTTTTTTTGAGACTCCTCTTGCTCTGTGGCCCAGGCTGGGGTGTAGTGGCGCCATCTCGGCTCACTGCAAGCTCCACCTCCCGGGTTCATGCCATTCTCCTGTCTCAGCCTCCCGAGTAGCTGGGACTACAGGTGCCCACCACCATGCCCGGCTGATTTTTCATATTTTTAGTAGAGACGGGGTTTCATCGTGTTAGCCAGGATGGTCTCGATCTCCTGATCTCGTGATCTGCCCGTCCTGGCCTCCCAAAGTGCTGGGATTACAGGTGTGAGCCACTGTGCCCGGCAGTTTCTGTTTTCTATAAGCTACCCAGCTTATGGTGTTTTCTTATAGCAGCCTAAATAGACTAAAACAGGCAGTGATGCATGCCATCATTTTTCTCTTTGGAAAGTGGCAAATTAAGATTTAAAGATTTTCCAGTGAGTTCTGGGTAGAAGGGTCATTTATACAGTTAATCGGATAAGGCTTAAGGTTTACTTGCCCATCCCTGCCCTATTTTTTATTTATTTATTTTTTTTTGCCCAAGTTGGAGTGCAGCGGTGCAATCTCGGCTCACTGCAAGCTCCGCCTCCCGGGTTCACGTCATTCTCCTGCCTCAGCCTCCTGAGTAGCTGGGACTACAGGCGCCCGCCACCGCGCCTGGCTAATTTTTTGTATTTTTAGTAGAGACGGGGTTTCACCATGGTCTCGATCTCCTGACCTTGTGATCCGCCCGCCTCGGCCTCCCAAAGTGCTGGGATTACAGGCGTGAGCCACTGTGCCCGGCCCTGCCCTATTTTTTAATGTGAGGACTCTGGGAGATGGAGGCACTAGAGAAAGCAGGGCCAAAGGAAGGGGGTGTTCAGGGGGCTGGCATGCACGATTAGAAAGAAATGGTTGTATGTGGTAGATGGCATCCACCCTCCCTAGGACTGGGCTATCCTAGGCTTTGTGTTCCATGGCCTGCAACGTCATGGACAAACTGGGGCTACCCTTTGGGGTAACCTCAGAAACCTGTAGCTAGGCCAGGTGCAGTGACTCACACCTGTAATCCCAGCACTTTGGGAGGCCAAGGCAGGTGGATCACTTGAGGTCAGGTGTTCAAGACCAGCCTGGCCAACATGGTGAAACCCCGTCTCTACTAAAAACGCAAAAATTAGCCAGATGTAGCAGCACACACCTGTAATCCCAGCTACTCGGAAGGCTGAGGCAGGAGAATCGCCTAAACCCAGGTGATGGAGGTTACAGTAAGTCAAGATCACACCACTGCACTCCAGCCTGGGCGACAGAACAAGACTGTTTCAAAAAAAATAAAGCACACGATCAATGAAAACTTTTGAGTATTACTCACTACAGGGTGACAATTTTTGGCACAGACTTTTTTTTTTTTTTTTTTTTTAAAGAGACAAGGCTGGGCACAGTGGCTCATGCCTGTAATCTCAGCACTTTGGGAGGTCAAAGTAGGAGGATGGCTTGAGCCCAGGAGATCAAGAATAGCATGGGCAACATAGCCGGACTCCCTGGGCATGGTGGCTCACACCTGTAATCTCAGCACTTTGGAAGGCTGAGGCAGGACGACGGCTTGAGCCCAGGAGTTCAGGACCAGCCTGGGCAACAAAGTGAGACTCCATCTCTATAAAAATGAAAGCAGAGGGCCAGGTGCGGTGGCTCATGCCTGTAATCCCAGCACATTGGGAGGCCGAGGCAGGCAGATCACGAGGTGAGGAGATCGAGACCATCCTGGCTAACATGGTGAAACCCCGCCTCTACTAAAAAAAAAAAAAAAAAAAAATTAGCCAGGTGCGGTGGCGGGTGCCTGTAGTCCCAGCTACTCGGGAGGCTGAGGCAGGAGAACGGTGTGAACCCGGGAGGCGGCGCTTGCAGTGAACCGAAATCGCACCACTGTACTCCAGCCTGGGCGACAGAGCGAGACTCCATCTCAAAAAAAAAAAAAAAAAAAAAAAAATTGAAAGGACAGAATCTCATTCTGTTGCCCAGGCTGGAGTGCAGTGATCACAGCTTACTTCAGCCTTGACCTCCTGCCTCAGCCTTCTAAGTCTGGAGCCACCATGCTCAGCTTTAGACATCCTTTAAATGTTACAACCCCGTGAATCAGGTTATTGTTCACATTCTATCAATGAGGAAACTCAGAACCAAGGAGATTAACTATCCCAAGAGCTACTAATGGGTGAGGAATGGGTTTGAACTTCACTGTGCCTGGTTCAAGCATCAATTAAATAAGCATGAGTTAAAAGTAAACATCAGAACTGGAAGACTTAAGAAAAAACTTTAAAAAATAAAAAAGGCCGGGAGCAGTAGCTCATGCCTGTAATCCTGACACTTTGGGAGGCCAAAGCAGACAGATTGCTTGAGCCCAGGTGTTCGAGACCAGCCTGGGCAACATGGCAAAACCCTGTCTCTACAAAAGATACAAAAAAATTAGCTGCAAGTGTTAATGCACACCTGTAGTCACAGCTACTCAGGAGGCCAAGGCAGGAGGATCAACTAAGCCCAGGAGGTCCAGGCTGCAGTGAGCCAAGATCACGCCACTGGACTCCAGTCTGCGTGACAGAACAAGACCCTGTCTCAAAAATCAAAACAAAACAAACAAACAAAAACAAAACCAAAAAACACCACCAAAACAAAAAGAAACAATCTTCCTTATTATTAGTGTCTGGTAATTCAGTTTCAATATGTTGTTAAACCCTTAAAAATTTACACATATATAAAGGAAGGATGAACACTGTCCCCAGGCTGAAGAAATATTAGGACTCCGGTCATGCCCAGGGATACAGAGCACTCTCTAGTGACCAAAGGGTGAGCACAAGCAGCGAGGCAAGCGGGCAGTGCACGCACTGAGAACTCACACAGTACGCTGCCTGCCTGGCAAGGAGGACCACCAAGATGCTTTGTGCTGGCATTTTTATCTATTTGAACAGCCTAACAGGCACATTTGTGGGTGGGAGGTAACAGTAGTTGAGGATGTAGTAGGAGCTCCTCACGGTGGGAAGGAGTAAGCTATTTC